TCAAACACTAGAATCAACCGTAAGTCAGCGAGGAGGCTGTGTGTTGAACCATAAATAACCTATTAAATAGGAAACTCAGATTGCCCGCTCGCAGTGTGTATGACATACATGTGTTTTAAATAAATTTATATTTTAATTAATTTGAATTTATGCATCTTTAAGTAAAAAAAAGTTGAACTAAAATTGCATCCAATTTACAAGATGCATTAGATTATGTAGATAAATGATAGCAAATTAATGATAACATATGTTTGAAAATTTTTATTTTGCTAATTTACCTTTGAAATCAATAGCTTCTTTGTTAAAAAATAAATATATACATGAATTAGTACTCCATACTTCATATTCATCTACTCATAAATTTTTATAAATATCTATATAGTTAATTAATGTCATGTAATCATAATATTCACATTAATTTTTTATGTCACTGATTCATAAACAACTTATCTTAGACTGAGAGCCATTTCCAAATTGTTCACACATTCACTGATTAACCAATGTATTCTTCATGTTTCTGCTTTATCTAATACTTATTTAATATAAAAATTGCTTATAAGGTAAACTCCTTCAAACACTTGATCTGACTTGATCTGGAAATTTTGAAAAGTCAATGAAAGTATAAAGAACAATATTAATAATAATAATAAACTTTCTAAAATGCAATCAGGTGAGTTATCATATGACTGATTAATATATATTTTTATTATTATTCTTTGATCAATAATAAAGGGTACAACCCCAAAATCCATCCGGATATGATGAATTAATTATTAATACTATTTCTTTAAATTAAAGATGAAAATCATTTTGATGATAATCATCATCCAACACAAGAAAAAAAACTATTTTTGATAACATCCACCTTTTTTTTTTTAATTTATGCTTCCCAAAAAATTATGTTTAGATAAAAATTTTGTTTTCACCAACTTAACATTAAATATTAAATATTAAATATTAATGTTGAATGTTGAAGTTTAATATTTAATGTTTAATGTTTAATGTTTAATGTTAATTAAGGTATCTATACAACGCTTTTAATTTCGTGAAACAGCAAAATCCTTTTACGTAAATTATTTATTTTAAAAAAAGTGAAAAAGTGAATGATCATTCCTGAATCAGATATTTTCATTCCTGAAATGGATAATTTTGTTACACCAATTCAATTCTGTTTGAAATATTTTAATAAAATAAAAAATTGGTTTGTTACACGAGTAAAATTTTCTATTTTATATATGTAATTACACTTCCTGTGACATATTGTTTGACTGTTATATTCCAATTTATATATAAAATTCGTTGAAACAAAAATTTTTAATTAATAAAAAAGGGGGGGACAGAACCAAAATTTGTTGAAACAAGGTTTGACTGTAGTATTTCTTTATTGAATGTTTTTAATACATATGCTTGTTTTTTCATTATATTATTTACTTTTCAACTTTTCATTGACTTCATCAAATCAACACTTCACCTTTGATCATGAATTATCATCCATTATAACAATAACAATATAGAGTTTATTGCACCAAGCTGAGAATTAATATTTATATTTTGTAAAACAAATAAAATGAATAGTTTGAATAAAATGAATAATAACAATGATCCTAATAAGTAAAATTTTAATCTACACATGTAACTGGAAAATTGCCAATTCCCATAATTTTTATCATTCTAAAACTATCAGAATGCCCAGAATTTTATAATAGGATTTTACACCCTGTTTTGGAGGTAGTTTTGACTGGAAGCCTTAATTTCATCTCTGTTATTAATTAATTCATTTTTCAAAAAATACACTTTTTCTATAAGGTCTTTCTTTACTTTCCATTCATTATCTTCTTCGTCCTCCTTATCCTCATCCATGATTTCTATCCAATTATCAGGTAAAATATTCAATTCTTTAGGTTTAGTTGAAAAAAAAAAACTTTGTAATCTTTGAAATTTCTGCAGCAGCTTTAGTAAGAGTGTCACCTGGATCATTCTTATCATAATAAGTGTGCTTTGGTGCTTTACCTTTCATATATTTGCCTCCTTTCTGCTTTTCCAATTGTACATCATTTTCCCACATTAACTATAATGATTTATCAATTAAATCACCCAAAAACCACTTGCTCTTGTTCCATTTCTTCTTCTCCCTAACCCTCCATTATTATCAATTTATCCAATTCTTTCTCTTCATCATCAACTTTATTATTAGTATTACATATTTTCTTTGTTCTGTACTTACCCTTTGTATCTCTTCATTTTTGAATTTTTTGCAAGTCTAGTTTTAAGTTGAGAATTTCTTTTTGTAAGCTTATCAAATGAGCATGTAACTTTGAATTTTCGTCCAATAATTTATCAAAGTCTTCTTCAAAATCTTCTTCGTGATCTTCAGCAACTGTCTTTTCATCAATATTAATACTATTATTATTATTTGAGAGCGTAATGACTTGATCATCTGATTTTGATTCTAATGCTTTCTTGGGTTTTTCATCATCATGATCATCACCATCATCATCGTTATTTTCATCATCACCATTTTCATCTTTTTGAATTTCATTATGATATTCATTCATAACTATATCTTCATCCATTTTATCATAAACATCAACATCATCAACATCATCAACATCATCATTATCATTATCAATATTTTGGCCATGATTCCTAAAAGATTCCGCCAACATTGTATTTTCAAATGAAAAGACTGAGTCACTTGAATCATAAGTTGGTGCAAAACTTTGATAACCTTTACGATCAAGTATTTTAACTAGTGCAAAAAATAATTTTTAAAAATTATATATATATATATATAG